CCATCAATATGGGGCTGAATGAAAACGAAATGATGATATATTTACTCAATAATGTGAAAGAAATCTCTGAGATACATTATTAAGTGAATTCTATCTTGGATTTTTTCCAAGCTCTTAAGGAAAGTAATCCAAGATACTGTCAAGGGAAAATGTAGAATAATATATATATATATACATATATATATACATATATATATATACATATATATGTTCTATTTATTTAAAAAGAAGGAATAGAAAATAGAATTTTGCACACCGGCTTGGAAATACATTAATAGGGGACAGAGGTGGAAGGGAAATTTTTCATTACTCAATGTTCTGTTATTTGGATTAGTGAACAGATTATCTTTTTGAAAACTAAGTATTTAAATACTGAGGTAAATACAATTCAAGGAACTAGTTAATACTCTACAGTCTATGGCCCCTCAGTCTATAGGTGGTCCATAGAAAAGACACTAAATAACAAGGCCTTAAATAGCAGCATCTAGAGCTGGAAAGCACAGCAATGGTCACAGATGGAAGTAAACAGATTAATATATGCACTAATGAACAGACTGTATATACATAAAGACAGTAAGGAAAAGAGAGAATACAACCTTGTAAAAAGGGTCACATTAAAATAAAGAGATACCAAGGCATGGTATTACACCTCTGTAATGTCAGTACTCAGGAGGCTGAGGCAAAAGAATCATGAATTTGAGGCCAGTGTGGGCTACATAACACAGTGGGCTACATAGTCTCAAAGGAAAAAAAGGAAGATATATATTATGAATGTATGTATATATGTATGTATGTATGAATGCACATTAAGCAAGAGGTTCTTCAATGTTTGAATCAAAAAGCAGTGTAACAATTCCCTCAGAAATCTGAACTGGTTGAATGCAAACACAGGTGTCACAAAGTGTATAATTCACTGCAAAAGCATGAACTCCTTGCAATGGTGAAAGATGGTAAAGTTAGAGAAGCACGCTGATGTATAGGTCTTCTCTATGCCTCTCTTATGCCTATCTTCTAAGTAAAACTCTCAGAAAGTTCATTAAATCACAGGCTGATAAGGATAAAGAAAAAAGAATATTGAGGGCTGAGAATGTAGCTTAGTGGTAGAGTGCTTGCCTAGCATGCTTGAAGCCCTTGGTTCAAATCCTCAGTACCACATAAACAGAAAAAGCCAGAAATGGCACTGTGGCTCAAGTGGTAGAGTGCTAACCTTGAGCAAAAAGAAGCTCAGAGACAGTGCTTAGGCCCTGAGTTCAAGCCCTAAGACTGGGGGAAAAAAAAAAAAGAATATTGAGTAAAGCTTCCTGAAAACCAGACTTATTCATTCATCAAATGTTTATGCAGTGCCTACTCCATAGGAAGAACTGCTTTAAGGGCACAATAAATTCATCCCCCAAATACACAGGCCCAAGAAAACTGAAACAAAAAGACATTTAAAAGATTTGGAGATAACATCAGCCCCTCTGAAAGGTTGTTTAACACCAGTGCTACACCTGTAATACTGACTACTCAGAACTGTGAATGGAGATTCAAAGGCAGCTTGGGCAGACAAATCTATGATATTCTGCTCTCCACTTAACCAGAAAAAAAGCCAGAAGTAGAGCTGTGGCCCAAGTGGTAGAGAACCAGACCTGAGTAGTAATTAAGCCAAGTGACAGGAAGAGGCCCTGAGTTCAAGCCCCAGTACTGTATATGTATATGTACACACACACACACACACACACACACACACACACACACACACACACACAGGAAAAGTCATTACTATAGAATTAGAGTTAATAAATTTCTAATATTATCCAGTTCTATTGTTTGAAAAATGGTGATTTAACAAGTAAACTTAAAAACAATTTTCAGAAATTAGAAAAAAAAGAGGTTTAATTTGACTAAACTTAGTAAAAATCTTTAAAATACAACTTTCTATTCTCCTTACCACGATTGATAAAACAGGAAAATATAACTGGAAAAGGGAACTAATTCAGAACAGATGTCAGGGAAGAATTTTTCCAGTACTAAACTATAAACATGCGGAATAAATACTGGAAAATGTTATTATGGTAAAAAAAAAAATCAGAATCAGTTACTAATTACATGATCTAAGTAGGAAACCAGATATCTAAATATGTAGAACAAGCCTTTCAAAAATAGCCCTAAATTAATAGACAAACCATGTTTTTACTATCCAAACCTGACTCAGATAATACATAAACCTGAATCTTCTGAAATTTAGATACTTTCTAATGCCTGCAGTCAACTCTTATTTACCCAAATGATGTATCCAACTACAAAGCTAACAAGTTGGCAAAGAGAATTCTCTCTACTCTTGATTACTTTGCCAACATTTTTTTTAACATCTTCAAGTACTTCCTTATGACCTGCTTTAATACTTCACTTTGCCTACACTCAGAGATACAAAAAGCCTGCAACTCCACTATCAACAGGCCTCCTCTAGCAAAACTGGACCCTTCTGTCCCAGCTGCTATACTCTAGCAGTGGCTTATGCCTAGCATGCAGAAAGGGTCAGAAAGAAACTGAAAAGCTGGGTGCTGGTGGCTCATGCCTGTAATCTTAGGTACTCAGGAGGCTGAGATCTGAGGATTTCAGTTCAAGAAAGTCCATGAGACTCTTATCTCCAATTAGCTAAATAAAAAATAGATGTGGAGCTGTGGCTCAAAGTGGTAGAGCTTAGCCTTGAGCAAAAACCTAAGGGACAGAGTCCAGGCACTGAGGTCAAGCCCTATGACCACAAAAAAAGAAAACAAAAAAGAAAAAGACCTGAAGAGGAGTACACAACAGAATCCATTCCAAGAAAGTCTGCTAATTGTATGAAATCAATTTGTGAATCATCTAATATTCAAATGAATTTACAAAGACAAATTCCAAAGCTAAATATAAAATGACTTTTAGACCATCCAGGTTTCTACTCATTTCTAATTCATGGACAGGAAAGGGCTGTAATGCTGGCAAAATTTGAACTATCAAGGGCTAGTAAGAGCCATTCAATGACTACAGTTAACTGTCATGTGGGCCAAAACAGCTTTATAAAATATTACTACTAAAAGCACATTTCACATATAAGAACCTCCTGACTACAGCAATCAAGTACTGAGATAGAAGGCAGGACAGATTCACAGTACTGAACTGACCTAAAAAAGCATTCCACTTTTGAAGTTAAAGTATCATAAAATAAGCTCAACACTATTGTTTTACAGATGATGATATTTAAGCCTCCAAAAGACTGTTACCAAAAGTCAGGCATCTTCATGGCAGCAAAGGTAGTCCCAGCTCTCTGAGAAGCAGAGACCTCTAAGAGTTCTTTGCAATACACAGCATCTCACTCTTTGAAAATATGGTCAAGGCAGTGAACGTGTACACGTGAGGAAACATAGTTTCTTTCAGTGCCGGGTTGAGGAGAAAGAGTTATGCAGCTATATTTGGAAAGAGGTATTTACTTCGTCAACTCTAACTAAAATGCAGATCTTGTTTCAGAGGCATTATATCCTAAACTGATTTATCACGCATAAGCAATAACTTTTCTCTTCCAAATTAGTGTGGTCTTCCAGAGTTTACCAGTGATAGGGGAAAACATGACACCTTAACCAGACTACAAGCTTCTCCTGTTATTACTGATGAGTGGGAAAATACTATTAAATGAGATTATAAAATATTATTAGACTTCCACCATTAAGAATCCTTTCCATCTCAGATTTCTAGCTTTTTTCTGAAATTTTCTATGACACCAAAAGTCTTTTCTGTTTATTATATTGCTTTTTATTTGTTAAAATAAATTTTAATATTCTGTTACATGGACTTCTAACAAATCATGATCCCAAAGTATTTTTGATCCCAAAATATATGCATTTTATTTCTGCATATCTTTTTTTATGAAAATCTAGGTATGTTGTTTTGGAAAAGAATAAAAAATTCAAAAAAGAATTTACGTTTAACTAGCTATACACAGATGTCATAGTCTCCAATTTTCTAAATATTAAAATGTTTCCAGAAGATTAATATCCCCTAGCCTATAGTATCCAGCTCATCAATGACACAAAGAACAAAAGTCAAACCAAAACTCTACCAGGAAAAAAAGAGAGACAGAGAGATCATAGCAAATCTTCCTACGCAACAAGCAAAACTGCCATTTCCTCCTGTCACCACGGAGCTGCCTGTGTTTCTGGCAAGCACCTTGACAGGTATGCTCCCAGCAGGAACATCCAAAGTTCAGGCAAAGAAAACAACTAATATGTGACCTCATATACTTCCGTTCATGCGAAGAATGTCTGAGTCCATCCAATCTTCTACTTCTACTATGTCTGCTCTTCATGTGGATTCAAGTTATATGAGGCATCTTTTATGAACATTTACTGATTACAGTGAACATTTTTAGGTGACTTAGAAATGTCAGAGATGGGTAAGGCATGTTTTTGAAGCTTATGGTTTGACAGTTACAGGCAATGGATAAAAGAACACAAAACGCAGGCAGTAAAATAAAAATTTTATGAAAGACGATGAGTACAGTGTGCGTTTACTTCTCAAGCTAGTTTTTGTGGAAGGGTAAATTTTCAGAGGAAGTGGCCAGAATGGAGAAAAAGGAATTGCATAGCGAAGAGAATTACAAACAAATTGGAGGAGTTGGACGCATGCGGGAAGAACAGTGAGGATGCCAGATTGACTAGGACAGGAAAACTGTGTGGAAGTAAGAACTGGGTTTTACTATGAAGACACTATGCGGTTGCTGAAGACTTTTAAGGATGTGAGCAATAAAACATAGGGTATATTTGGAAGACTAATCTGACACTAATAGAATTTGTAAGAGAAGGAAGGTATGTAGGTCAGATAGAAAATTACAACACTCCTGGATCCCTGAGCCAGGAACATGTGAAGTATACATACATCGTCAGGTGAAGTTACTAAATTTTATGCATGTCTCTTAAATACAGTATGCAGTTTCTGCACTGATTCTAGAATACTTGAACTTAAAATTTTTGGCTTATTATTTTTACCTTAGGTAATAACTTCTGGTTTGGAATTTGGATGTGGCCTTTCCTTGTTGGTAAAAGTGATCACCATTCTCTACCTATTAGCAAAATCAATAAGGCAGCATGTTATTGCCTCGTTACAAGAGTATTGAAAACAATTCTAAAACCTCGTTTTGTAAAAACAATCACTTTTCTTAAGTCTTCCCCAAATCCCGTATTTTCTATTCCAAGAAAAAGTTTTTTCTTACAAACAGATTAGGCCTATAAATGAAAGAGAGAAGGAAGGAAGGAAGTTAGGAAGGAAGGAAGGAAGGAAGGAAGGAAGGAAGGAAGGAAGGAAGGAAGGAAGGAAGGAAGGAAGGAAGGAAGGAAGGAAGGAAAGAAGGGAGGGAGGGAGGGAGGGAGGGAGGGAGGAAGGGAGGGAGGGAGGGAGAGAGATGGAGGGAGGGAGAAGGAGGGAGGGAGATGGAGGGAGGGAGGGAGGGAGGGAGATAGAGGGAGGGAGGAAGGGAGGGAGGGAGAGAAGGAAGAAAGAGAAAAAGAGAAGGAAGCAAGAAAGGAAGGAGGAAGGAAGGAGATAAAGAGAAAAAGAAAGGAGAAAGGAAAGAGAAAAGTACTAGGCTGCAAATTGGTAGGTTACTTTGTAGCCAATTTTTAAGATTTTTCTGCCCTCAGAGCCAAAATTGCTTTATTTGGTGTGTGTCAATTACACATGAATGGCCCTTCAAAAAAAAAAAAAAAAAAAAAAGGGCCAGTAGTAAAGTTTTCATTATGTCACAAATTAACATAGTCTTCTTCAATTTGGTTTCCCAAAGGAAGAGATTTACTATAAAGTCTCGAATTTCACCTGAAAAAGTCACAAAAAAGTGATTTCGAAAACTAAACGTGTCATCTGTGCCTCATCACAGAATATACTCAATTTCTAATGATTTTAGAAAAACAGCCCGATGACTTTAGAAAAGTTAGAGGTGAACTGATACTGTTTAAAAAAAAAAATAGGTAAAAATGAATTCGTTTGGGTCACCGGAAGAATATACATACTTAGGGACCTGCAGCGTTCTCCACGTCTTCCGATCCAAAAGAACCCATTCCAGCAACTGGCTAAGCAGGTCAAACTACCCCCAAGGAACTGAGATTGTGCACCTGGCAGACACTGAGGAAGGAAAGGCTACAAAAGGAGGACAGAAAGAGGTTGGGGGGGGGGGGAGGAGGTGGGAGGCCCAGGAGTAGCCCGGACAGAGATCCCCGGGACTCACTCCATGCAAAGGGAGAAATGTTTTCTTTACCGGTTATTCTCAGCCGCCAGAGAGCAGATTTTTTTTTTTTTTAAGGTAAACACTGATACCAGTTTGAAATTCACCGAAGGAGCCCAATTCTCCTGAACAAACTCGGTTAATATCTTTATAACGACCCTGATGGGCAAGGCGTTAGAAACCAGTAAACCACGCAGTGAATCCCTAATTTTAGGGCTCGCGCTGATCCCAGTTCTGCCCGAGATGGCTGAGACTGAAAGGGGGAAGAGGGTGGTAGAGGCATGGGTGGTGTGCAGAACACAGATGAGATTTTTGTTGTTGTTGTTGTTGTTGTTTTTGACAGCATGGAAATAAAAAGTATTTTTAAACCTTCTCGAGGGTGCAGAGTTAGGCAAGAAGTAATACGTGGAAACTGTCAAGTGCTTCTCTTAACACACCCACCCACCCACCAGATACCGCCGCAGCCGGCTGGGGGAGTCTCCCCTCCGCTTGCCTGACAGCTTCACTTTCTTTGAGGTCTGGAGCTGGTGATCACACTGGCCCGTCACGGTATTTTCAGTTAACAAAGTAGTTACTCAACGGGGGGGGGGGGGGGGGGGGGGGAAGCCACCAAGGAGCCGAGCAGCTGCTGCTGCACCCGTGATGCAAGTGCAGGATGAGCCCCGGGCCGCCACCGCCGCCCCGGCTCCTCCGTGACGTCCGGGAGGGGTATCCCCGGCTCTCAGGAAGTGGTGGCCGCGGACGGCTCCGCCCCGCGCGACTCCGGGCCGGCCCGGCACCCGGGCGGGCGGGGATCACCGTCCCCCTCCACTCCCCGCCCCCGCCCTGCTCGCCTTCCCACCCGCACCCCTCTCCCATCCCACCCAGCGCGAGCGCGCACCGCCCTCGGGCCGCGCGCCCCGCCCGGCCCGCCCGCGCCGCCTCTCCAGGCGGACCCCGCATCCCCACCCCGCCCGGTTCCCCTCCGCCCGGCCCGCGCGCCCCACGGCTCACAACCCACTCACCCCGACCCCCGGCGCCGACATCACCGGTCACCAGACAGGGGGGCGGAGGAGGGGGGGAAGAGAGAGGGAGGGAGGGAGGGGGTCGAGCCGAGTCCAAGATGGCGACTCCACCGCTCCCACCCCCGAAACCGTCCGCACTCGGGGCGGGGTCGAGGAGCCCCCCCTACCACCACCACCACCATACACACCCCTTGACGGGCGCGGCGCACTCGCGCCCGAGGCCTCCCGCTAAAAATAGCCAGGCCCGGACTATATTTGGTTCGGCCGGATCCCGGCGAGGCCGAGCGCGCGCGCGCGCGTACGCGCGCACTCCGCGCGCCCCGCCCCTCCCGTGCCGCCCGTCCTCCTCCAGCCCCGCCCCGCCCCGCCCCGCGCGGCGCTGAATGGAGCGGGGCGGGGGTGACCGAGGGGAGCCTACTCCGCTATCTGCCGCGCGCGCCGGCGGCGGGGCCAGGCCAAGCGCCGAATTTAGTAACATCGCCTGCGTCAATCACGCGCCTCGCGTGCGTCAGCGCCGCGCGGCTCCAGGTCCTGCTCACCACCGCCCCCCCTCCTCTTCCAGCCATTGAATGGATACAATGTAGCAGCGCCCTCCTGCCTTCGGAGACTGGAGAGGAACGCGCCGGGGCGCCGGGGCTCGGTTCCTCGGCGCTAGGTCAACTTTTGGAGCATCCTCCCACAGAGGTCTCCACACCGGCAGCCTGCCTGGAGTGGAGGTGGAGGCGAAGAGCGAGAGACACACGCAGCCATCTATGTTGCTTTCAAGTTTCTGGTCCTGGCTGGAAGCTCCTTCGACTCTGAAACAAGTGGTGCGGACCAGCGGATCTTTCCCCTTCAACTCGGCCGTCCCCACCCGCAAAAGACCCGGACGGGTCAAAAAAATAAAAATGTCCCATCTGAGTCAAGCGGACCACCCAGGGTTCTGTCTTGTCCATTGTTGCACTCGAAATATTTTCTCAGAAACCCATTTCTAAAAGGGACAGCAGCCTTCGCAATTAGGAAGCGTTAAAGGGTGACATGTTTGTTTTGTTTTCAGCAAGAAACTCACACTGAAATTCATCATTTCCAGGAAGATTTTTTTCTCTCTCTCATACAGTCGCCCCCAGCCCAGGCTTTGGCCACACCATCTCCCGACAAATGAGTCCCAGGAGACCAGAGGCGGTGCCCCAGGGAGAGACAGACTAATAAATCCTGTTGATTGATTCTTGAGATGTTTCTTTTGAGCAATGGAAGGGGAAGCATCTGCCACCATCAAAAAAAAAAAAGTGAAAGTGCTAGGTGCGAGTTGCATTTCTGACCCGGCGCTGGGGAGGAGGAAGGATCTACAACAGCCACACTCCGCTGTTCAACACGTGTGTGTGTGTGTGTGTGTGTGTGTGTGTGTGTGTGTGTGTGTTATGCACATTAAGTAGTTTCTGGGGGAGGGTGCAGGTGGATGAGAGATGTGCACTTCGTTGGATTACAATGTGTCCAGTTAGGAGACTCACACCATGAAATTCAAATAAAATAAAAATCCGTATCCCTCGGGCCATTAGCATCCCGGGGCGAACCCGTGCGCCCAGCCTAGGCACCGAGGGCCAGAAAGACGTACACAGTTTTAGAACCTTTCCACGAGGAAAGCGCAGCTGCACCTCGGGGAGTCTTCGGGCTGGTGGTGGGTGCCAGACTCCTTTCAGCCCTCGGATGCCAGGTCACTCGGAGAAGCTGGCTGGCGGAGCTTTCCCTTACCCCCCCTGACCCCCGGGCTCAGTGCCTCGGGGCAGCCCGGAGAACGCGCCAGCAGCACTGGTCCCAACTCTAGTTCCTCCCCCCCCCCCCCACCACCACCCCGGCCTGACAGCTGGGCGGTCCCGCCTGACCCGCGGGGCGGGCTCCAGCACTCTCCCGAAAACGCACGCCCCAGCGGGCAGCGGCACCACCGCGAAGGGGCGGGCCGCGCCGAGCGCAGCCAGCCCTCCCACCCCACCTCCCCACCCCACCCCACCCCCGGGCTGGATGGGGCAACTACCGCTCACTTTCCATTGTGCGGTCCGGGGAAAACGCGCGGGCGCGCGCGCGCACACACACACATAAGCACAAACACACACTCAGACACCCTCCCTCGCACACGCGGAACCGGCTGGGCCAGGGGAGGGAGGAGGAGGGTGACGTAGCGTCCCATGGCGTCACATTGACGTATCGCATTCCAGGCACTCTATGGAGAGGCCGCTAGGGCTCCTGTGGCATAAATGACGTGCCGGGAGAGCAGGCGAACGCGCAGCCGGGAGAGCGGAGTCTCCTGCCTCCCGCCCCCCACCCCTCCAGCTCCTGCTCCTCCTCCGCTCCCCATACACAGACACGCTCACACACCCGCTGCTCCCTCACTCGCACACACACGCACACACACTACACACACACACACACGCTCGGCGCACACACACTCTCCACTCTTTCTCTCGCGCGCGCTCACACCCCTCTCGCCGGTGCTAGTGCCGCGCCGCGCCGCGCCGCAGCCGGACGGCCCCTCCTGGCTCACTTTGAGACGCTGACAGCGCGGACAGCGGCCGTGGAGGTGGGAAGCGCGGCGGCCGCCTAACCGCCCACCCCTCCCTGGGTCGCCACCGGAGACCGGACGGCCGGCGGAACCTCTCGGCGGCGCTCTCCCATGAGTCGGGACCGCAGCATCTCCCCGCCAGTCGCCCACCGCTCCTGGGAGCCGCTGGGCTTGTACACCGCAATCCTCCCGGGACAGCAGCTGTGACCGGACACCCCCCTACACACACCACCACCACCATCACCACCTGGCTTCCCAGTGCAGATTTCGAGGCAGCTCTCTAGAAACTCGCTCTAAAGACGGAACCGCCACAGCACTCAAGTACGTATGGGATGAGTCCAGCTTTATTTTTTTTAAAGGCCGGGATGAGAGAGTGTGTGTGTGGGGGGGGGACTTGCTTGAAAGTTGGCGCGCTGGGAAGCGTCGCTCCCGAAATGGATAACTTTTGAGTGTGGGGTCCACCACACACACACACGCGCACGCACACACACACATACACACTCGCGCACACACGCACGCGCCCCCCCCCCCCATCTTATTCCCGCTTTATTTAGCTTTGCTTTGCCAAAGCGATCGGTGGTGGGCTCTGATGGGAAACTTTTCCCCGGTGAGCGGGGCCTTCGGGGACTCTGGAGCTTGTGGGATTCCTCTCCCCACCCCCGTAGAGGCGAAAAAGCCTCTAACAAAGAGGAGGACGGGGATTTGCGCTGTAGCAGTTCCAGCGATGTAATTCAGGGTATTTCGGCTCTAGTTGTCATGGTAATGATGCTCTCGGCGGCGGCGGCGGCGGCGGCGGCAGGGAGTTGCAAGCCGGGGTGATGAACGGCTGTAATTTTCCTGCCTTTTAAGTAGGATTGGAAGTAGGGGCTTTGGTGAGTCCGAGTGCAATGTACCTGAATGGTGGAAGGGAACTGGTTGTCTGGAAGAAAGCTTGAGACTGTGGGGGGGGGGAGGGGGGGAGGCTTGGGAAGGGGGGGGAGGAAAGGTCTTGGATAGCAGTGGCTAGAGTTTGCAGAGAAGCCCGGGAGATCTCGGGAAAGAGGTCCTAATTGTAGGAATGTGGCTTGTTGTATTGAAATGAGCCTGGGGCTCCGCGAGGCACGTCTGCCTGGCGTCGCCGCCCGGCCGGTTTAACACTTGTCTCTTTGGAGGTAATCGGGTTGTAATTGCTGACTCGCGCGCCCCGGCACGCGTGGGGACGGTGTCCCTTCTCCTGCGGAGGGCTTGGTTTTACGGTGTGGGAAGGACAGAGTTTACTTCTCACGGATAGAATTCGCGCTTTTGGAGGAAGTTTGCCCGGCGTGTTTTTCCTTAACTCTTCCGTAGAAATGAAAGTTCTCGGTGGCGAGAGGAGAGCGGGCCTGCCGAGCGCAGCCTGCCTGCCGAGACTGGCTTCCAAAGAAAGGCACCTCTCAAACCTGTTGGAATCTTCGGGCCGTCGGAGGGAGGAAGCTCTCGGCCCCTTGATTTCCAAGAACGTTCTCGGAGGTTGCCTTTTGTTGATGCCCCCTTGGATTACCTAAGAATTGCTGGCCAGGAGTTGCGTGATTGGAAATCTCTACCAGCTGCTATCGCAGGATTTGGGGGGTGGGAGGGGGGATGCCGGGAGGAAGAGAGGTGCAGGGCAGTCCTTCCAGCGCGAACCCAATCCTAGATCTCCCCTCCCCACCACTGAGAAGTGTTTTGTTTTTGTTTTTTTAAAATAGAACCGGACTGGGTGGGGGAAATAGAATAGCTGCCCAACGCGGATCGTGGGCACAATGAATGAAAGTACTTTATTCGAGTTATTGTAGCGGAACACGATGCGCTGTAACGTGACTTTCAAAGACTCCCCCCAACCCCCACCCGCATCCTACCCGGGCCTCGCTTCTCCCAAGCAAATCCCGCACCTCTTTCCCCGGGACCCTGCGCGCGCGCTCACAGAAATTCTCCCCGCGGTTTGTCTAGTCTCCCGAGGTCTTTCTGCGAATCTGCCTTCTCCCGGGCTGTCCGCGTCTGCTCCATGCCTCTTGCCCCCGCCCAACCTCCGCCCCCACTCATCACGGATGGAAACTCCGCGCCGGAGCCCGGGTCACAATGGTGTGTTTCACGGTTTCCTCCACACACTTCACCACCGGGAGGGGAACACGGGGGTGTTCCTTTCGTCTGCCCACGAGAAAGAAAGGGGCTTTGACAGAGGTAGTTATTTCTTCCTAATTTACAACCCCAAGGCTCTGTGCCCCGGACCCCGGCGGCCGCGAACCGCAGCAGCAGAACGTGTTTCCAGGCGCAGAGCCTTTGCCTAGGTAACCGGCGATTTGGGGAGGGGTGGAAGGGGCAGAGGAGAGGTGGGGGGGGGGGTGGGGAGAGAGAGAGAGAGAGAGAGAGAGAGAGAGAGAGAGAGAGAGAGAGAGAGATGGGGCGCTCCGCTGGGGCAGTAGGAAGAGAGATCCCTAGAAAACGCTGGGTTTCTGGACAGAAACCCCTTCCGTGGGGACACGAGACCCGCGCCCACGGGAGTTAATAAGAAGCCTCACCTTAGAAAAAGACTCTGCTTGTAAGGTGCCTCGGGAGAGGCAGGGATGCAGACACCCACAGTGGGAGGGGGGTGAGGACGATGGCTGGAAGACCCCCCCCCCCTTTTGAAGATGCGAGGAGACGAGTCTATGTTCTTGCGGTGGGAAGATCTACTTGGGCCAGCGCTACAGTTTTCTGTGGGAGCAGCTTGGGTTGGGGGGACGGAGGGGAGGAGGGTGACAAGGGAATCCCCCAACTTCCTAGTGGTGGAGGGTTCCCAGGACCTGGTAGCTCGGAGTCCCCCCCCTTTTTTTTCTTTTACTACAAGCCAGAGCCAGACACCGGAGTCACAGGAGAGGAAACTTACACGACCTGCTCTCCAGCGCCTTGGAGAGGTTTTGTTGTTGGCTTTGGGATTTTTTATTATTGCTGTTATGATTTCTTCCATCCAGTTCCTACCCTTCGAACTGTGCCCACCCGGAGCAAAGGGGGCGCCATAGGCCATTCTTTGCGGCAATCAGATCCTTTCCCCTGGCCAGCCCAGCAGCGTTTTCAGCTGCAAAGTTTCGTTAGGGCTGTGCGCTGAGACCCTGGCTGGGCGAGCTGCTCCCGGCGCTCCCCCCGGGATGCGCCCCTTCAAAGCCACCGGTGCCCGGAGAGCCTCAAAGCCGCCCCACCCTGGAGGACCCCGCCTGCTGAGGGCAGGGGACCTTCCTCAGCCCGCCCCACCAGTCGGGGACGCGCCGGCTGCCCCGCGCCGGTTCCAGCGCGGCTGCTGGCTGGCCTTCTTTCCACTTGTGCCCTTTTGTTTGTTTGACCCTTGGCCCCTGAAACTCGCGGCTAATAGAAGTGAAGCTCCATTAGCATTTAGAATGAAAAGCCCGGACTTTTTTAATTCCTCGAGGCATTCACGCATTCGTTCCAGCCCTGGTGCATTTCCTATGCAACGTATAAAATTCGTATTTGAGGGGTGGGGTGAGGGGTAGAGTTGGAAAATTGCCTATGTTCCGCTCGTGCACACCCACGGACTCCCAAATTCCGGCTGAAATGGGTCCCTCAAGTGTTCACTTTTATTTGGTTGGGGTTCCCCCCCCCCTGGATTTCGAGGGCTCGGAACTAATCATGGGGGGCAGAGATTAATTTGCGGGCGTTGACAGGCTGCGGGGGTTTTCTCAGATCGCGTGCCACAAAGCCGCGGAGCAGTGGGCTGCTTTCCCCAAGACAATGTGACGCTTCCTGCCCTGGGATTCTGGGACCCCTTAAGCACCTTTCCTTCACCTTAAGAGCATCCTTTGCAATAATCATCAATATAATTTTTTAAACCCTTTTCAACCGGCTCCCGTACCGTCCTCCCCACCCACCCACCCACACGCACTCTCCATTTGCCCAGCAAAAGGGATCAGCGACCCAGCCTGGTCTCACCGCCCATGTGTGTTTTCTCCTTCTCGATGCCTGCAGAACCCACTGCGGGAGAACGCAGCCCGGCAAGCCCGGGCCCTGAGCCTGGACCCTCTGCAGAGCCTGGCAGCACCAACTCGCCTCGCGGGACGTCTCCTCCTCCTACACTCTCAGCCTCTGCTGGAGAGACCCCCAGCCCCACCATTCAGCGCACAAGATATCCTCCAGGTAGGTTTGAAAGCAGGACACCTTAACCTTCAGGAGCCAGGGAGAAGTGGGTGGGAGAACCACACACTCAGCAGGCAGGCTGGTCAACTTGCCCAGTGCCAACTCAGCGGCTGCTGGCCCTGTATTTCACAGCGCAGGTGGCTTCCATGCACGAAGCTCCTCTGTATACCACACCCTGTTGCTACCAAATGGAGCAGCCAGATAAAAACTAAGCGCTGCATTTCTCAAAATTACCTTTTCCCTAAGAAAATTTGCAAATATTCCAGTAGCTTAGGATCTTGTATACATTTTCATGTCTTAATTTTCACTCTCCTCTTATATCTAGTATATTGGTTCAAGATGTATAGGATTACTTAGAGCACTAAAGAGCATTTGTGTTTATATAAAACCAGAATCACTTGGGTGATGACGTTTGAGAGGTTGAGCTTCAAGGGAAAGGGGGAACATAATTGAACCAAAAGCCAATGCATAAATAGAAGTTTGGCAAAAAAAGAGAAGGCCCAAACCCAGTAGTTTGCACCACCTCCTTAAAAATATTACTAAGTGTTAGGCCTGGGTAGGCACCAGAAATATATGCAGACCAATTGAACAGAGTCCCCAAAAGCTCATCATCTTCCAGCTGGAAACTTCAGGGAGACACAAAAGAAATCAGTAGTGAATGACAGTAAAGACAGAAAAGACCAAGGGAGAAATCCCAGAGGCACTGAAGGGAGGGGAGAGGATAGAAGAGCAGTGTTCTTTCTATTAAATGATTAGCTTTTCATTTCATCCCAACAAACTGGACACTAAGATAAGTAACCCTCAACTTCAGATTAGTTCGTATGTATTTAAGAGCCTTTCTTGAAAAAAGACAGGCCTGAACTAGCCTCTCTCTTTCTCTCTCTCTCTCCCTCCTTCTCTTTCTCCCCCCCCCCACCTCTGTCTCTGTCTCTCCCTTCATCACTGCTTTTTCCAACAGGCCCTCCTCACCTTTTTTCAAGTCAAGATTGCATCCCATACCCGCATGACTCAATCAGATTTGGAAATGTGGGTAAGAGAACTATGTCAAAGGAAATGTGAAGAACTCACTTTTCTATTAGTCACACCTTTTACATCAGACACTCCAAACAGACCAGAAGTACCTGGTTTTCCTTTGGCTCAGAAAAACCAACCACCAGAAACTGCCCATTTTACCACTTCTATTTAACTATGAAGAAGGAAAGTCATTAGATAGATCACTCACTAGCATCAATAATTCTCAGAACCTTTTCCCCCAGTTCCTCTCTGAGCAGCAGTAGTCAGCTTGGATACCAGTCTCTTTGGGGCTCCATGTAGTCAAACTAGCAGAGAAAGCAAATCTGTTCCAAAATTGCTTTCTTCTTTTCTATGGATCTAATTCTTTGATCATATGAAAATACCTACTTACTTGCCTATTATGAGTGAGTGTTGTCATAAAACAGCCACTGATAGCTTATAAATCCAAATTAGGAAACATATATGTGTGTGTATGTGTGTGTGTGTGTGTGTGTGTGTGTGTGTGTGTGTGTGTGTGTGTATGTGTGTGTGTGTGTGTGTGTGTGTGTGTATGTGTGTGTGTGTGTGTGTGTGTGTGTGTGTGTGTGTGTGTGTGTGTGTAGTGTATGACAGAGAGCAGATTTGGTGGGTGTGCTGTTGCAGCTGCTGATCTTTTTCTTTGCAGATGGCACAAACTCCCCCGAGTCCATTTCCTGGGCCTACATTCCCACTTCGCCACCTAGCTGGCTGAAGTCATCAACAGGGTCCAGTTTGTACAGGCTGCTAGTCTCGTGGAGAGGAATGGGAAGGGGGTGGGAAGCAACCAACCACCAGGACGTGTGTGGGCAGCCTCAGTTGGCACTTGTAAAATGTTACAATGTCACCATCTCTCTTGGCCAGTAAGTCCCACATAGGACATCTTTTTGACTAACTGGTAGGTTTACAAATCAGTGTGTGTGTGTGTGTGTGTGTGTGTGTGTGTGTCTGTGTGTCTGTGTGTCTGTGTGTATTTGCGCGTGCGCGCCATGGAAGAACCAATAGCCTCTTTCTCCTAAAAGTAACCAACGGAGCATTCACTGGCTTTCCTTTTGTCCTCCTGCCTTATGGCTGAGGAGGTCACTACCTTAAATTTATAGGACTCAGAGCTACTTATAATAATAATTCATCATTAATAATATCATCTCTGGGTTTATGAGAGAAGACATCAAGTTTCCAGATCTGGTGGAGAATAAAGCAAGGAAGAGAAGATGGGTGCAGACATTCTGGGTAGGCCAGCTTCTGGTGTCCCTCAGCCTCTTTGTTCGCTGGGGATTCAGCTGTCTTGCCAGGGAGGAAGAGAGTAAGCCACCAGAAGGAGGAGAGGATGTCACCTCCTCTGGCTTCCCACATTTAGACAGCAGTTAACCTGTTAATGCTGCCTGTTAACCAGGAAAGAAGTGTGGCCTTGCTCCTGAGACCTTCTTGCCTGTCCCTGCAGATATGCCCTGCGTGCAAGCCCAGTATAGCCCTTCGCCTCCAGGCTACAGTTATGCAGTGCAGACCTATGGCTCGGAATACACCGCGGAAATCATGAACCCTGACTACGACAAGCTGACCATGAACCTCAGCAGCACGGAGATCACGGCCACGGCCACGACGTCCTTGCCCAGCTTCAGTACTTTCATGGAGGGAAGCAGCTATGAACTCAAACCCTCCTGCCTGTACCAAATGCAGCCGTCGGGGCCGAGGTCTTTGATCAAGATGGAGGAGGGCCGCGCGCACGGGTACCACCATCACCATCACCACCATCACCACCACCACCACCATCACCAGCAACAGCAGCCACAGCCACAGCAGCAGCAGCCGCAGCCATCCATCCCTCCTCCTCCGTCTGGTCCAGAGGACGAAGTACTGCCCAGCACCTCCATGTACTTCAAGCAGTCCCCGCCGTCCACCCCCACCACGCAGGGCTTCCCCCCGCAGGCCGGCGCGCTGTGGGACGACACGCTGCCCTCTGCTCCCGGCTGCCTTGCTCCGGGCCCGCTGCTGGATCCGCAGATGAAGGCGGTGCCCTCGGTGGCCGGTGCGCGCTTCCCGCTCTTCCATTTCAAGCCCTCGTCGCCCCACCCGCCGGCGCACAGCCCCGCCGCCGCCGCCGCCGGCGGCCACCACCTGGGTTACGACCCGACGGCCGCCGCCGCGCTCAGCCTGCCGCTGGGAGCCGCGGCCGCCGCGGCCGCCGCCGCGGGCAGCCAGGCCGCTGCGCTCGAGGGCCACCCGTACGGGCTGCCGCTGGCCAAGAGGCCGGCCACGCTGGCCTTCTCCCCGCTGGGCCTCACGACGTCCCCCACGGCGTCCAGCCTGCTGGGAGAGAGCCCCAGTTTGCCATCGCCGCCCAACAGGAGCTCGTCGTCCGGGGAGGGCACGTGCGCCGTGTGCGGGGACAACGCCGCCTGCCAGCATTATGGGGTGCGCACCTGCGAGGGCTGCAAGGGCTTCTTTAAGGTGAGTTGCATGCCCACCCTGGACAGCCCCCCTCCTCTCCCCTCGGCAGCCAGCCCTGTGCTGAAACACACATCCAGGCGGGTGCCCTTCTCCTGAGAGGTGACGGTCACATACCCTTCTTCTGAGAGGTGACAATCACTTACCAGGGGCCTGTGTATAAGAAGCTGCCCAGGTGAACTTGAGGGCTCTCCTTCTGACCTTGAAATGACCTTAGGAGGGTCCCCCCCCCCCCCGACCCCCACCCCAGGGCAGAGCTTTCAGTAGATGCTCAGAATGATCTATGACTTTAACAATGCAAAACCCTCATGGCAGTATTGTCTGTCCATCTAGGCTGTCTGAGAGATAGGATCTGCAGGGCAAACTCTCGGGATCGCTGGATCTCACTTAATCCTCCCAGTAAGAAAGAGCTGGGACTCTTAGATAGAGCTGAGATTGAGTAGATTGAATTTTGGTCACTCACCAGCTTTTTTTCTTTTTCTTTTTTTTATTCACAGTATCTCACAGGTAGGTAGATAGTGGTGGTCCTTGCTTCATAGATGAAGTGGAGGGTCTGAGCCAAAGCAGGGTGATTTAGACACCAAGGAGGAACACTTAGAGGCAAGAGGCTGCTCATGTTTGTGTGCACCCACCCAGTGCACATGCTTTTCATAGTTCTGCAGAAAGAGATTCAGGCAACTACCTGGCTCGATGCAGTCTGGGGCAATTTCTTCTGTAGAAAATAGATGTTGGAGCCTCACCAAACCACTCTATTCTCTGACAACCTCTGAGCTACAGCTGCCAGATTTCAGCATTGGTTTGAAAGGACCAATTCTCCTTTGGTCTCCTAGACCCACGGAAGAAACTCACACTGGGAAGGTCTTCATCCTCCCCATACACATGAGGAAGTGAAGTCCTGGGATACTCAGACCCAGGGCAAGCTTATGCTTGCCCGGTTTAACAGTTAGTGTAATGGGTCCAACTGGCTTGACTCTAGTGTTCAGTGCTCTCACCACCACTTTGAGGGTCAGGATTGGGCAGCTGTCTCCTTTTCTTGCCGTTCTGCCTTTTGTCATTCATTCTCAGACTGCTTTAGGCATTTCTCTACCACCTTCTTCACCCCAACCTACTGCCCCTTCATTGTTTCAGGCATTTGCAGACTCCACAAGTCATACAAGGAAGCAAGATACTGATGGTAACTAGGATCAGAGAGGCCAAGAGTCTCTATGAGAGCATGCTGGAATTGGAGATTCAAATAGAAGCCCTAATCTGTCCCTTTCCAATAACACGAGATTAGGCATGATACTTCTTACTAGGCCTCAGTTTTCCTCTCAGTGTGTACACACACACACACACACACACACACACACACACACACACACACACTTTATAATCTTTTAGAGACCATGAACAGTACATTGTAGAATGAAAACTACATAGTATTTGTAAAATTAATGTTATGGGTGGGTGTACACACCAACAAACAACAGTTAATTTTTTTAATTAATTCATTTTTTATCATCACACTTTAGTTGTACACAGGGAGTTTTATTGTGACATTTCCACCCATGTAAGTAGTGTATCCGAGTTATCCTCCCTGCCCCCGCCTCTTCTCCCAAACCTCCTCCCTCTCCTTAAAGCAATTGCAACAGTCATTTTTTATGTTAATTGAATTTTCTATTTAAATGGGAAAACAGTTGCGGGATGATTTTGCAGCACATTAAGTGCCCTACAGGTATGTCAGATTATGATGTTTTCAATGCAAAATCTTAGGTTGCATTGAACCTGAATGTTGGCCTTTTTTTTTTCTGTCTTAACTATTTGTGCTCTTTTAGTTACTTTCAAAAAACTGCATTGGTTTAGCAGGTGGATGTTACAGCATTCCAGTGGAAATGCTTAAGGGCAGTAAAACAGGCAGCAGAAAGGAAGAAAAGAAAGACACACAGCTAGGAGAACTGTAATTAACCATCCCTCAAATAATTAAGGGTTCACCAAAAATATGGTGGAAACATATTCCAAACCTAGAAATGTTCATGAAATATTTCCCCAGCAGCTTTTCCTTTTGCTTCAGTCATCCCTTGGAAACAAATCTATACTTGAAATGGAGGGGGTAGGAAGAGAAGAACCTACCCCACAGATCTGTTAATTAAGGGAATGGGAGCAGGTTTTACCCAGTGGCTTTCTACCATTAAATTGAATTCTTTAAAAATGTGACATGAAGTGCAGTTAATGATGGGAATTCAGTGATTGAACCGTAACGATCTCTCCCTGTCCTTAAACTGTGCAGGCACACACAAATGTGGGGAAGGCTTCAGGTTATTGGGAAAATGTATACCTGAAACAAAATGCCAACAGCATTTAAATTGGCATATCGCCTTGAAGATAATGGCAAGGAATAGAGTGTTAGAAATGACTGCATGTTCAATGAAAGAGGGCTTCATTCAGGAAAAACAACTTCCTATCCTTGCAGGCTGCTGAGAACTTAAATGCTGGAAACCTGAAGTCTGTGTGTCTTGAAATTTTGCATTTTAGACTGGGAAGACATGGCTGAGATTTGACACATATATTACATTTTACATAAGCAATCCAGAAACCACATCCTAAAATGCAGTTACAAGAGGATACTGTCAAGATTGAAACAAGGGAATAAAGATGATGGAAAATAAAGGGTTCAAAGTAAACCCAGGATTTTGGACACAAAGTCCAAATTACCTACCTTTTTTTTTTGTTTTTTGTTGTTTTGTTTTTGTTTCCCCCCCTTTTATGTAGCCCAGACTTCCCAAATAAATTCTAACTTTCTTTCTATATGGGGTTGTATAGATCCAGGTAAATTTGAGCAATAAAAATGCATCCACTTGCACAAATGTTTTCAATTAAAAAGCAAGTATTCTTTTACATTTGGAGCATAAAATATGTTTAATTATCCTTCCATGTGTCACTTCCAAATCCTATGTGATTCTGAAAAATATGGGGTTATTTTTATATCCAAGCCCAAGTTTATGATATGTCTTTTACAATATGACTTGATTGGTTTTGCATCAATAGTCATTTATTAAACAACCTATTAATGGGAATATTCACTGAAAGTATATGACTTTCATATTTCTTTTTTCTGTTCTTATTTGCCTTTGAGGTTTTTCTTCCTTAGCTATGATAGTGATTTTTAGTGTCCAGTTTTAAGATTCTGTTTTCAAAGATTGAAAGTGGCTAGATTTCCATATTTATGCTTTAAAGATTAAATAAACTACATAGGTCAATGAAGTAAATTTCCTTTTGAATTGGAATATTATTCTTTACATGTTTAAGCATGATAAATCCTGATTCTTTTTTTATGATTTCATCTCTATTGGGTAACAAAGCCAGCTACTGCGATATTTGACTTACAATAGTGATAGCATGAGAAGTACATCTCAGATAATTCTGATTTTATTTTAATAAGGTCAGCAATAATCAGGGGAGTGAAACAAGTAGAAAATTGTTCCCAAAGGGATATTAAAAGTGGAGATAATCTAATCCTCCAAGGTATGATATGTTGACCTGGTAATTTCAGATATGATTTTATCATTCAGAGTTGGGTGTCTCATGAGACTTGCCTCAGAACAATCCAAGATGATTTTCATTGTCAGCAGCTAACACTAATAAAATTGTTTTTCCTGCAGGCTAGCGTGTTAGGAAATTAAATTTATCTAATTATACGAATTGCACTGTCGCTTTTCACATTGTAATTAAAATACATCTTGTCAGGTCTTACCTCTTTCCAGAAACTAGTAGTTGACTATCTCTGTATTGTCTTTTCTCAGAGAACGGTGCAGAAAAATGCAAAATATGTTTGCCTGGCAAATAAAAACTGCCCAGTAGACAAGAGACGTCGAAACCGATGTCAGTATTGTCGATTTCAGAAGTGTCTCAGTGTTGGGATGGTTAAAGAAGGTATGGATGTACTGCTTTCAACAGTTTGCTTTGTATGTTCTCAGATTTCACTAACAACTGCTAATATTTACATCGGGGCATCACATTTTCTCAGTTTTTTTTCTTTCCAAGATTTTTATATGTTTACATTTTATGCTTCATATTTACATTTAAATATAATTGAAGACTACTTATTCTAATTTCTCAAAATCAGTAGAAAGCCTGTGTACAATACCTCTTGCTTCTATTGAATTCCTTACCAAATGTAAGCATGCAGTTTCAATTCACATTAGATTTTCATTAAGTATTACTCCAAACTTATGACCACTTTCAAACAGTTGATCTCATTAATTGCCCAACTCTGTGTTTATGTTCCTTGGTGTGATTTATGCCTATTCAAAACATAATCTTGAAACGTGGTTTTCTTTTTCTCTCTCTCTGCATCAGTTGTTCGTACAGATAGTCTGAAAGGGAGAAGAGGTCGGCTGCCTTCCAAACCAAAGAGCCCACTACAGCAGGAACCTTCTCAGCCCTCTCCGCCTTCTCCTCCTATCTGTATGATGAATGCCCTCGTGCGAGCTTTAACAGACTCCACACCCAGAGACCTTGATTATTCCAGAGTAAGTTTTATGATGTCCTGCTTTCAAATGTATGAGCAGAATGTCTATTCATGATAATAGCAATGAGAGTTGATTAGCTTTGTGCCTAACATCATGCTAGACTGTTTTTATACCCTTTCTTATAGTTCTCATTTCATTTAGCAATTCAGTGCACCCATTATACCACATAACTTTTGCCTTATTGGTTCTCTAAATGCCTTAACAAATGACCCTGACAGAGATGCACCTGTCATACCCATTATTGCAGGAATCTTGGTAGAGCTGCCAATGAAAATCTGCCCAGGAAAACTACAATCTGTAGATTCTCCCCTCCCCCTCCCTGCATGCACGCACACACACACACACACACACACACACACACAATCTAGACAAAGTGACTTCTAGGTTTTTTTTGTGTGTTTGTTTTATTTTCATATTGTGATCAAACCATTCGAGTGGACCTCAAGTTATCCTTAAGCAGTTTAGCCAATGGCATCCACATTGATTGGACCTGCTGCTTATTCAGAGGGATTAGACCATTGATGGAGAGGAGTAAGCTCTGGCCTTGACATCAGGGGTCTGGGGTGGAACCCTGCTTCTGCTGCTCCCTGCCTGTGTCACCTGGCTCCTGCTCTTGGCTCTCTCACCCCTACAGTGGAGATGATTACAATATTTAACTCCAGAGGGGTATTTTGAACATCAGTCACAGGAATATGAACACATTTGGAAAAAACCAGAAATGATCACTAGTGTTGTTATTTAACTTAACCAAAACATATCAACATCATTATTTCATACAGAATGTAGTGAAACATCACCATTTGAATTCTGCAAATTCCCACCACCTGCCATACTTGAAAAACACAAAGAGCCATAAGAGAATTTTCTGAAAAATGTACAAATGTTATTCTAAGGCCACCATTCGAATCCTTTCTTAAAAGGGATTTCAAGAAGCAAACTTCTAGTAAAACAGAATATAACTGAAGAGCATAGGGAAGGAGTAAAAATCATAATTACCATGCAGTGATATGTCGTGTGCTACATTGCTTCATTCATCCTTTAAAGAAGCACAGGTTGGGCTGGGAAGGTGGCTCAGTGGTAGAGCGCTTGCCTTGCATGCCTGAGGCCCTGGGTTCGATTCCTCAGCACCACATAAGCAAAAAGAAAAAAGCCGGAAGTGGTGCTGTGGCTCAAGTGGTAGACCGCTAGACTTGAGCTGAACTGCTGAGGGACAGTGCCCAGGCCCAGAGTTCAGACCCCATGACCAGACCCCCCAAAAAAAAATTAAATAAAAATAAATAAATAAAGAAGCACAGGTTGATGGGACTATTATCCTCACTGGAAGACAAGAAAATATAGTCACACATAAAGGTACCAGGGCAGAGGTAATAACTAGTGGGCAATGACAACCACATTTTGCTTTCACCATCTCTAGTCAGCATTTTAAGCTTCTGATTGACTGTGTGGCAATTGATATAAGTGCATCTTTGCTGTGTGCCCTCTTTTTAGGCTATGGTGTTGACAGCAATGATTGATATACTTGCTGTGATCCTCTTGTCCTCATACTCACCCTCATTATAGGCTGTGAAATCTCCTCTCTGCACCTGATCACAAGACTCCATGAGAAGCATAGTGGATTCTTAGCACCAAAGATTGAGGACTCTTATTCTGATTACAAGTAGTATCTCTTGACTACAGTCAGGTCTCAAATACTAGTGTAGCAGAATAATGCAGTGGTGAAGAGTGTTGGCTTTGGAAACCTGCAATCCTAGTGGAAAAGCCCCACACCACCACTTACTAGTAGGTGACTTTGAGCAATTGGTTAGACTGTTTGATGCCTCAGTTTCCACATCTGTGTCATAATATAATAATATCTACTTCCTGGAGTTGTTTGTGAGCATGAAACATACTAATATTTGTCAATGAGTTGACACTGTGCTCTGTATGTTATCTTTTTCCTTGCTTTTATGCCAATACTGGGGCTCAAACCCAGGGCCTCGTGCTCTTTCTTGCTTAGTATTTTTTGCTCAAAGTTGGTGCTGTACTACTTGATCCACAGCTCCGCTTCTGACTTTTTGCTGGCTAAAACAAGAGTCCTCAACCTTTCAGATTTGTCTTCTGAGACTGGCTTGGAATTAGGATCCTTAGATCTCAGCCTCCCAAGCTGCTAGGGTTACAGGCATGAATCACAAGCACCCAGCTGGTAGTTATCTTTATCAGACTTCCTTACTCTGCCAGTTGTTGAATGTGTTAATGAGCATGACTATCACACACATCAGGTACTGAGCAGCAGTTACACCATGAAGGTAAGCGTTACATTCTCCACTGTACTGACAAAAGAAATTAACACTAGGCGAAGCTAAGGAGTCAACTTGCCCAAGATCATATAGCTAACTCACACCTGAATACAATCATGTGTCTGAGACATTGTACCCAAAACCTGTGCTCCCTAATAACCAGAGTTCCATCACCTCACTTGTTTCAGTAAAAGTAGGTGCTAGAATTCCCAAAGACTTTTGAGAATGAAAACTCTGCTCCCCGAAGTACCCTAGCCCCTGTCTATACAATCCAACAGCACTGATGAAGCTAGTAGACAGTGCCTTAGCTAGGGTCAGGCACACAATCTGACATTGTTGAGAGTATTTAACATCACTGTTGATGGCCAATCCAGAGAAGACTCCAAAAGAAATACCTTGTTCCAAATTATCCAATTATCAGTTTTCTGCCTTAATTACACATTCAATGGCAGAGCCTCCCAGCACTTTGAGTTGTCCCAGCTGGGAACTGTCTCCACACTGAAAAATCAATCCAGTATGTTTGTTTGCCTCTGCACCATTCAGTCTGTTAGTCTAGTGTCATCCTCCTCATCAACAAACATTTATCCAATTTAATTGTTAGCTTTGTCCAAAATAGTGGATTGACCATGTCACAGTCTGGGTCACACTGATACTACCTTTGGGGCCTAGCTCCATTTTGCACAGCATATTTATTTTAATTGCATTGTTTTTGGAATCAGGTTGGACCTCATAGCTTGGGTTTTCCTGCTTTCAGATAGCTTTTCCAAATTATCCAGAAGTTGGACCCAAATCAACTAAATTAAAAGACTTTTTAAAAAATACAGTGAGTTTTTCATCAAAAACTTGGATGAAGGCACAGGAGCATGCTGATCACATTTGCAGATGACAGAAAGCTGGGAGGGATTGCTAATCTGATGGATGTCAGTATCAACATTCGGAGTGATCTCGACAGGTTGGAACAGGAAGGGCTGAAACCATCACGGAGAAAGTTAACAAAAATAAATGTGAAGCTCAGTATTCTGATTTTTTTTAAAAAGGGAGAGCTTTGGCTTGTCAGTGGCTCATATTAAGAAGAAACTCAGGAGTTTATCCCATAGACACTCAATATTATCTGACTGAATTACCTGCAGCAAAAGCAGGAGTATGGAACCAGAACCAAATTGCACATGCTTCCATAGACTCTGCCCCATCAGACCACCCTTCAAAGACAGAGTCCAGTTCCAAGATGGGATTTAAGAGGAACATAGATTCACTGTTCCTGGAAGCTTATAAGGGATGTTTGGAGAAAATGGAAATATATAGATCAGAAGAGAGATTTGGTGAAATTAGGTCACTCTTGCTCTATGGAAAAAAAGAAAGAAAAAAGACTGTTGTTCCCCTTGGTAGATCTAGAACAATAAGGGAGGGGTGTCTCTTCTATTTCCATCTTGCTCTGAGAATAGGCTCTCTTAAGCCTCCTACCTATGGTAGGAGTGAGATCAGAAACACATGAAGTAATCAAGGAGAACATATATCGATTCTTCACCATGGGAAAGGTTATTATAGATGGCAACAAGCCCTTCCTAATGTTAAGATTTTATAATCTTGAGGTTTTCATCTTAAATGCAAGTTTTATATATGCATAAGATTGTACCTAGTTCAGTAACACGGTGTTTGTCAAGATTAGGATTTGTTTTATTGTCTATTAGAACAGTACAGAAATGGAAACAAAATGAATTTGAGTGCTTACTTTGAACCAGGCACCATCACATACATTTTTATAGAGTCCCACATAAGCCCCCAAGTCTTTGAAACATAATTTTTATTTCAGTGTTTTGTTTAAAGACTATTATATTTTCTCTTTAAATTTTATACTTACCAATTCATATAACTGGAAATGATCTTGAAATCACCCAACTTCTATGTGTTGAGAGGAGTAAATGAAGGCCTAATGGGGTCAGCTCACTTGCCTAAGGTCTGGTGGGGTGCTGGGATGAGCTCCAGATCACAGTAGTCAAGGGTCAAGGTTTGAAACCGGCCCAGGCAGGAAAGCCCATAAGCCTCTTATTTCCAGTTAACCACTAAAAGTCTGGAAGTGGAAATGTGGCTCACGTGGTAGAGCACTAAGCCTCCAGCAAAAATGCTAGCCTTGAGCAAAAGAAGCTCAGGGACCAAGCCCTGAGTTCAAGCCCTAATACTGGCATGCATATACATATGGTTGTGTGTGTGTGTGTGTGTGTGTGTGTGTGTGTGTGTGTGTGTGTGTGTGTATTTGCCAGTCCTAGGGCTTGAACTCAGAGCATGGTCCCTGAGCTTCTTTTGAAGCTCAAGGCTAGCACTCTACCAATTGAGCCACAGTGCCACTTCTGGCTTTTTCAGTTTATGTGGTACTGATGAATCGAACCCAGGGCTTCATGCATGCTAGGAAAGCACTCTACCACTAAATCACATTCCCATCCCCACTTATTATATTTTTAAGCATAATAATAGTTGCTTTTCTAAAAGGCCAACCAGTAGATACAATGAAAGACACTTCAGTTTTCATTTGTACCTACCTCATCCCACTCTACAGCAGTAACTAGTGTTAACATTTTAACATATATTCACAACATATATATGTATATATGTATATTATTGTGCCAGTCCTACAGCTTGAACTCAGGATCTAGGGCACCATCCCTTAGCTTTTGTGCTCAAGGCTAGTGCTCTGGCACTTGAGCCACAGCTCCACTTCTGACTTTTTCC